TATATGTATATATATTCATATATATATATGCGAATTTCTTGTTTATCCAAATTCAAGGCAGTTGTTTCTCCCTTATAAAGTTAGCTCACTTCAACCTAAAAATATCAATGTGAAATTATATGCCCTCTCTGTGATTCTGCTACTATGGACCAGTCTCTAGGAATAGAGAAAGGGGGACACCATCACATGTCAATTATCAGCCATATTTTTCTGCACATTGCATCCACAGGTTTATTTCCTCTAGCAAAGAGAAGCACTGGTTTCAGCAACCACTGAATCTACTAGCTCTAAACTTTCCGATCTGAGCTGGGATCATATAAAACCCAAACTCCCTTCTCCTGCCTACCTCTCCAACCTCTTTTTTTAAAAAATATTTTAAATTATAAAATACATATAAAATTTATTGTCTTAACCATTTCAACTGTATAGTTTAATAGTTTGAAGTGCATTCACATTATTGTGCAACAATCACTACCATCTGTCTCCAGAACTCTTTTCATCTTGCAAAACTGATACTCTATACCCTTTAAACAATAACTCTCTATGCCCCTTCCTGCAGCCCCTGGCAACCACCATTTTTCTTTCTGTTTATATGGATTTGACCACCCTAGGAACCTCATATAAGTAGAATCACATGGTATTTGTCTTTGTGTCTAGCTTATTTCACATAGCATAATGTCCTCAATGTTCATCCATGTAGTAGCACGTGTCAGAATGTCCTTCCATTTTAAGGCTGAATAATATTGTATTGATACACCACAGTTTGTTTATCTACTCATCTGTTGATAGACACTTGGGTTGCTTCTATCTTTTGATTATTGTGGATAATGCTGCTATGAACATATGGCTCTTTGAAACCGTTCAGTTCTTTTGGGTATATACCCAGAAGTGGCATTACTGGATCATATAGTAGTTCTATTTTTAATGTTTTGAAGAACTGCCATACTGTTTCCACAGTGGCTACACCATTTTACATTCCTTCAAACAGAATATAAGGGTTTGAATCTCTCCACATCCTCGCCAACTTTGGTTGTTTTCTGTTTCTTTGACAACAACCATCCTAATGGGTGTGAAGTACTACCTGATCATGGCTCCCGTTTGCATTTGCCTAATGACTAGTGATTATGAGCATATTTTCATGTGCTTGTTTGCCATTTGTGTGTCTTCTTTGGAAAAATGTATATTCAAATGCTTTACCCATTTTTTAAATTAATTTTGAGAGAGAGAGAGAGAGAGAGAGAGAGAGAGAGAGAGAGAAGAGAGAAACAATGATTTGTTGTTCAACTTATTTATGCATTCATTGTTTGATTCTTGTATGTGCCTTGACCAGGGATCGAACCTACAACCTTGGTGTGTCCGGATGATGCTCTAACCAACTGACCTACCGAGCCAGGGCCATTGGTTGATTCTTTTTTTTTTTTAATGAATTTATTGATTTTTAAAGAGAGAGGAAGGGAGAGGAGGAGAGAGAGGGAGAGAGGGAGAGAGAGAGACACATCGATTGGCTACTTCCTGCATGCCCTCTATTGGGGATTGAGCCCGAAAACCAAGCATGTGCCCTGATGGGGAATAGAACCAGCAACTTTCTTGTACACAGGATGACGCCCAACTGAGCCACACTGACCAGGGCCATTGGTTGATTCTTGTATGTGCACTGACTGGGGATTGAACCTGCAACTTTGGTGTATGAAGACAATGCTCTACCCAACTGAGCTAACTGACCAAGGCCTTTACCTATTTAAAATAGGGTTGTTTGTTGTTGTTGAGTTGACCTCTTCAACCTCTTTTCATGTCACTGTCCCACTTGATTAGTATCCTAGAAGCATGAAAAAGATCTGTTTCTCAGAGACATATGTATTCTTTCCCACCTTTTGCAGCTGCTAATCTATTTGCTAGGAATGCTCTTTTTACAGTTCCTCCAATGACTGGCCACTCCTCCTTTAAGAACTAGCTGAAATGTCCCTTCAGAGAATCTTTCTTTTTTTTAATCCTCACCCAAGGATATTTTTTCCATTGATTTTTAGGGAGAGGGGAAGAGAGAGAGAAAGACAGAGAGAAACATCAATGTGAGAGAAACACATCAATTGGTTGCCTCCTGCACAAGCCCTGACCTGGCTTCAGGCCTGAGGAGGAACCCACAACCAAGGTGCATGCCCCTGACCAGAATCGAATCCGGGACCCTTTGGTCCGCAGGCCGACAGTCTATCCACTGAGCCAAACCAGCTAGGGCCAGAGAATCTTTCTTGACCATCCATCTAAAGCCATTTCCCTATTTAATCTCATATCACTGTTTCTTTCCTTCCTGGAATTTAATCACAATCTGCAATTACCTCATTTGTTTACGTATTTACTTGGAACTTACATTTACATGGAATGCAAGTGCCAGGGAGATGCAGAAATACTGCCGAATGTGGTCACTGCTACAACCAGGGCCCAGCATAGTACCTGACGCACAGTCTGGGCCCCATATTTACTGAATGAATGAATCCCCACTAACTAGGTTTGATGTCACAGGAATTTTCTGGTGCTGAGTTCCAGACTTTAATTCTTGAGTCGGAAGCATAGTACTATTAAAATCATGGACATTGCTTTAGTTTCCCAGAAGAAATGGGGAAGCATTCTCTGTGTCTCCCCAACAGAGACAGAGACTGTGGTAGTTTGCTGTGGCCATCCTTACCCTTCACCATGTGCCTGAAGTAGAGTTAGCTTCACAAATCTCAAAGTCCTGTGAGATTTGCAGAATACTTGGGATTCTGGGAATGACTTGGGCTTTATCAGTCTCCTTGGTGCCAGATATGTCAGTAAGAGTATCTTTAGTTAGTAGTCAAAAGATAAAAATGAACTCTCCATATCATAGGACACTAAAAAAATCAGAATTATTTTATTTAAAAATATTTTCAAAGGCTAATCCCATAGTGGAACAACCCACGGATAGTTGAACCAAACTCTCAGGGAATTAGAGGAGCATCACCCAATGCAAGCAGGTCTGTATAAATACACATAGTTTATAAATGAGCACAACAGAAGGTATACTGGCCCAAGAGAACCAGGCTGGAATACAAAAGGGAGAAACAGAGAGGACCCTCCAGAGGGACAGGCACACCCAAACCACTGAAAGCCCTAGACCCTGCGAGGGCCTGCAAAGCCACCTACCCTGCAGCATGCCTCTTGCCCTTTCTGAGCCTGGGGCATGACTGGAGGCCATTCATCAGCATCTTGGCCCAGCCACCCATGACTTGGCATCTCTCATGGCCTCTGGTTCAACTTAGCAAGGCTCAGAGAATGGATCTATTCTCCTCACCCTTCAGCAAGGACCAAGGAGGTGAGGCTCTAGGGCAAGTAGGATTATTTTCCTGAAAATAGTATGAAAAGGAGTGATGAAGGGGCCTGGTTCCAAAAAAAAAAGGATGGGTACTCATCCAGTGTGGCATTGTGGGGAAAACAGAACAGTGAGTTTCACCTGAGATATGCAGGTTTGGTACAAGCAACCCACAAGGCCAGGCTCTAAATTTAATCCTACAACTTGGCATGGGGAGAAGATGAAGAGACCTTCAGTTTGAGCTTTGGAAGTTGTCACCTACCATCAGTCCCTCCAGTCCTCATGTGGGTTTGTCATAAACAGGACAGATGGTTCTGTAACAAATAATCTCCACTTGGACTTCTCCCCGGTTACCCTCTCAGGTGCCTGAAAAGGGGAAAACACCACTCACCCCATCACTAGTGACTTTCCCCGATGCTGCTGACCTCCTCACTAAGGCCCTTACAGAACCTTCAAAATCACTATCTTAGCAGAAGGGACTTCTGGGGAGAGCAGGCCAGAGTTCTGGGGCACAGCGAAGCTTTTTATACGAAAGACAACCTTGACAGAGAAGGAGGAATCTCTACAGCAAAGCCACTACTGTGTTTACCCTTTGCATCCTCTATCTCTACTGTCCCTAGAGGTATCAGACAGACCCCCTTGGCTTGGTCCCTGTACTGTACCAGGCACACTTTGGACATCTTCACTTCATTCATGGATAACAGACCCCATGGAGTGGCTACAGGTGATATGAATGATTTCTGCCCTATGGTGGCCCAACACCACCATGCCCAGCTACCCAGCCAAGCCTCCCAACAGGCTGCTATTGGCCACATCCAAGATCCAGGCAGTCAGGCAGAGAGAAAAAAGCAATACCGCAGATCAAAGCCACCACTTTTGTCATACCTACTTTCCACCTGGGCATATTGGAAATGTTTGCGTACACCAAGGGGAGATCTGGTACCAGTCTATGATCAAAGGCCCTACTACACCTGTCTCACCAGGAAGTGGCAACTGAGGATATGGAATGCTCTGTTCTCCTTCACAGCTCCGCCACTGTCCGCTGCTCCAGTCCTCTCCGCCTCTTCATGAGTGGCCAGAACAGTCTCAGCACAGAGCACAAATGTCCCTTTCTTGAAGGAATCCTGGCTACAAGCCCTTTCATAATTTGCCCCCACTTCCCTATAGTCTTCCCTAGGCCAGATGGGTCCCTGCAGAGAAGTCCTTTGCCCAAAGCAGGGACTCTCAGTATATGGGGAGAGAGAAGAGCCCACACTGGTGGTTTGGGTTCTAGCTCTGTCCCACCACTGGAGTGAGCCATGTGACAGTCAGAGAGCTGCATTCCAGGTATCAAAGCACGGCCTTTGTCCCTTGGGGTGGTCTGTGTGCCAGAACTGTTTCTAAGGAACAAAGTAAATTTTTTTCCCACGTAAGTGATTGTTGAATTTTCATGTACAGAATTCCTCAGCTGGTTCTAAAAACCTGGTTTTTTGTCTGAGTTCAAAAATTGTAGGAACTTTGTAAACAGGTACTTCAGATCACTCATTGGAGGAAGGAGAAGAGTTGGGGGAAGAGGAGGGATCTGGAATGTTTTCCTTCATAGTCAGTCCCAGCACAACAGCAGCAGCAGAAACCAAGGGGACCGTTGATGGAACCTTAGCACCCAAGGCATTCTTCATGGAGGAGTGGGGACAAAGGCCAAGTGGCTGTTACCTGCACATAGGAGAGATGCGTAGATCAAAGAAAGGGCTTAGAAGGTAGAGAGTAGGTCACTGAAGCCACCCCCTACCCCCATAAAGTGGGTCAGGTGGGAATCTGTGTACCCCACATACTCTGCCCAATCTTGCTTGGGGCCATCGAGCCAGCTTATCAAGGGTAGGGCCAATTCAGCCAAGGTAACAAGCAGCCTGGCTGTAGGTTTTGGTCCCAGTCCTTAGCCCTGAATCCCAGAGGCATTGGAAAGAGAAAGGGCATCACCTGTGCCCAGGGACTGGGCCATCCCAATTCAGGGAGCATAACTGCTGTTCCAGCCGGGAAATGCGGAATGCCAGATAGGATGAGGACATGACCAAGAAGCAGATCCTGGAGAAAAAGGGGGCAAGAGTTTTTCTCATCTAGAAAAAGGGCACTTTTAGAGGCTCACCAAAAGTAGGAGTGGAACTAAGCTCCTCTTGCAATTGGAAGAATTAAAGAACCCTTTGCCCTGCAGCCATGCTCAAGCCTGGGCATCTTTCATCCCAAAGGCCACATGGGGGTCCTGAGACTCATCTCCACGAAGGTGTCCTCAAAGCCCAGCAGGGGTTCTGGGTTCTTCAGCTGACCCCACTTCCCTCTGACCAGCCACCTTGGTCCTGCACCTCCTCTGGGAGACTAAGATTAGCCCTAAGGTGGTAGCCCCAGGCAGCAGAGCCAGAGGATGCTGGTGAGGCAAGATGAGAGGAACCAGGGGCAGGCTGTTCTGAAGCTCCCACCATGCTTACTATCTGCTGGTCCTCAGGCGGAGTTACAGAAACTGCCCTAATGGTGGGCAGCAAGAAGGCCATGGCTTTCCTAGTCCACCTGATGGCCCTCCCCAATTCTGCCAGCCTTCTCCAATCCTATGCAACTTTTCCTTTTTTCAACAGTTTCATATCCTGCCCCTCCCCATTGCACAGCCTTAATCCTAAATTATAAGATTGTAAAAATAAAACTGGAGATAATTTCACCACAGTAGGGCCTGCCTGCCATGTGACCTCCAGACACTAACCAGGAGCTTGCAGTTGACTCAGAATCTTCCCCTTGCTCTGGACAGTGGCCTCCTCACACACCAAGACCCCTGCTCCAAACACCCATATACCCCCCTCCCCTAAACAATCACCTACAGCACGAAGAAGACCTTGAGGAGCTGGTAATTCCAGAGCCTCAGCTCTTCACTGCTCCTGGGCTCCTCCTCCAGCGTCTCCTCCTCACAGACAGCATTTTCTGCAATAAGAGAGCAGTTAGTCATCTTCCTGGGACAGCAGGACCCCAGCTCAGCATGGGGCATGCCAACCTCTTGCTGTTCTCTGAAGCTGCTCGGGCTCTTGGCTTTCCCTTACGGATTTGGAGAAAGAAACAGCTCTCAGAAGCCCCGTTGGCAGTGATGACCCCTTTTCACAGAAGTGGGAGGAGAAGCCTGGTCTTTGCATGCTGTTACCGTGGGACAAGGCCCCTGAACTTACCAGACCCTGGAGGTTTCCTGGAGGAGAAGAAGCTGTCTGGGGAGTCCATGGATGCTGGAGGGATACAAGGGATGCTGTCTGGGAGGGACAGGGACCTGGAGGCAGGGCATATTTTTCTCCACTTCATCTCAGGGGTGAGGACTTCCTGCAGAAAAAGCAGGTGAAGCTGTCTCACCACAGCCCTTGGGATCTTATTTGCCCTAAGGTGCCCCCACCACTTTATCAAAGCTTTCTCTATATATTACCAACATAGATGCCTAGCAAGGCATGGCAGCAGGTACACGGGAAGGGGAAAACCATTGCCATAGCAATCACGTGTCTCTCCTATCTGCTTCCTTGCTGTAACCAGCTACTCTTCCAGGGAACAATGTCTTTGAAGACTGCTAGTGTAGATCCAAGACATGAGATCCAAGATGTAAGCCCACTGAAGTATATGGTCAGATCAGCTGAGTCTGAGAAAGCCCAGCACAACCTATCTTAGATGGGATAAGTCATGACTTCTAATCTGGGCTCTACGCCTAAGCATGTCACCGATCTTGGCAGTGGGCACTTAAGGTCCCCATCAACAAAAATGGGAACATCACCTTCTATCTCCCTGCATGGTATTGTGCATGCTGCATGCTTGGCTGACTGCTACAGTTACTGAAGAAGGCTTCAAACACTCTGGGGCCATTTTCACCCCCATCCCTACTCTAGAAACTCAGCTCTAGTTACCCCAAACCCCAGCTACCAAATGAAAATGCTGGGACCTCAGCAAATCTAAAATGAGTCTGTCTGGGTTCTACATTAATAGCCTTTGAAGTTCTTCCCCCAGGGACATCTCTATCCCCTTAAAGGAACCTCCTGACTTTGCTGAAAGGAAGAGGACGGGTCACTGGCTCCGTGCCGGTACAGTGTGGGATTCAACCGGGACAGTGTTCTGGGGGCTAGACATCTGTTCTGCTCATAAAGTCAGCACACCTGCCAGGACCTGGTGGCTCTGCATGGTTGGAGTGTGGCAGGTCTAGGAGAACCCTGACAGCATGACTGCTGGCTCTTGAGCCTGGTTCCTTAGTTCTACATTGTGGGCCCTGCCTAGGAGGCCCTGAAGGCTTAGAACCACAGGCAATCTCAAGCCAGCAGCTTTTGCTCCCAGCCTCAGCTCTCACCAGAGACTCGCACTCAGGTTCTTCTGAAAATTCTCTTACACTCAAACTCTTCTTGCTGGAAGGCTGAGGAGGAAAGGGAACAGAAGTTACTTGTCCTTCTGGAACGGCGAAGATCAGGCATGGGGAAGCATTACCTCCATTTTGGATCAGATGGAGCCTAGCTCCCATAGTTTGCAGGGGTGCCCTATCTAATGCTGGAGCAGAGGGTCAAGTCCAAGGCAATCTACTCTTCCCTGCTGTTGCCCCTCCCCCTTTCTTACCATTGACCAGAGAGAGCTATAGGCATCCTGGGGAGCAGCCCCATGCTCCTGACTGTCTGTCTATACACAGAAGAAGCACAAGTGAGGGCATCTACACGGGGACATACAAAGGTCACTGGCCTCAAAGAGACATGTTCACAAATACAGACACACAGTCCAAGGACCGCCTCTGATACACTGAGCCCGAGCCTGTTACTCCCCTCTCTCTGCCCCGTTCCCTGTGCTGAAGAAATGGGCTAACCTCCCCAACAGCCTTGTCCCAAAACGTCAGTCCAGGCCTGAGCAGCCTCCCTGGCCTGACTCCTGCCCCTGAGCTCCATACCTGCAGGTGAGTGCAGACCCTCCTCAGCATGTCATATACACTGTCCCGGGAGAGCAGTGACACAAAAACATACTGGGACATGGAAAGAAAACAAAGGGGTGGGGTGAGTAAAGACTTGAGAGTGTGCTGAGTCAGGCTGTGGGCTCCTGGGGTTGCGATGGGGAAACTGACAAGAGAGTGTGGCTCAGAGACTCACTGACCTTCTGGCTAGTGTTGGTGGTGATGGCCAGGCCATTGGGAAGGAGCCGTGCCATCTTGTGTTTTTTGACCATTTGCACAGACACTACAGGAATGACCACCTAAGGGAGGAGAGGCATGCTTCTTTCAGGACTCATTCCCAAGGACATGGTCCCTTTGCTTCCAGAACAGGGCCCCAGCCCCAGCTTGCAGTGAGCCAAGCACGGGCACCATGGAGAAGCCTGGCCCCATGTGGGAGAGTGTGTGAACCTCCCCCTTCCCATGCGCGTTCCCCTTCCCGTTACCCACACCGTGCCCAGCCTTGGCAGCACATGTCACCCCAGGCTTTCACCCTCTTACCCAGGAGGCCAAGGATGGCTGTTCTGTTGAATCCCATACTCTAATAATGGAGTTCCCTGAGCTATGTCCTGACCACACCAATGGCTCCCCCTAAGTACGACATCCCTCTCTGATTCTGAAGGCATTTCAGAGGCAGAATAATTTGGCTGTGAACTGTTCAGACCAGGGGTGGGCAAACTTTTTGACTCGAGGGCCACAATGGGTTCTTAAACTGGACCGGAGGGCCGGAACAAAAGCATGGATGGAGTGTTTGTGTGAACTAATATAAATTCAAAGTAAACATCATTACATAAAAGGGTACGGCCTTTTTTTTTTTAGTTTTATTCATTTCAAACGGGCCGGATCCGGCCCGCGGGCCGTAGTTTGCCCACAGCTGGTTCAGACCAACTCAGGCCGATGTAGAGTCTATATTTGGGGCCTCTGTTTTGGAAGGGGTTGCATTGACACCAGGTGAGACGCCTCATAGCTGTTCATCCAACCAGTGAGGGGCCTCACCAGCATGCAGGAGGACAGGTGTGACTCAAGGCATGCCCGCAGGGCAGGGGCCTCTCTCTTTCCTGGGCTGGGCAGGGATCTCACTGGACTATGGCAGCTCTTACCACTCATTACTACCTTGATATCCTTGCCAAAGAGGCTGGCATGGAAGCAGAGCCAGTTGGGGGAGATATAGAGCCGACCCTGGAGAAGGAGGTCCCTCTGGAGGGCACAGGAGCACACTGGGAAGTCACAGGAGAGAAGACTACCATGAGCAAGGTCTGTTGGGAAGCCCCAGGGCCTGGGTCCTCACAGTGAAGAGTCTAGAGTCCAGCCTCAGGAACTGTCTTCCTTAGAATGCGACTTCCCAAATAACCCATCCTCCAGTACCCCAAGAGTCCTAACTTCCCCCACTCCACCCCAGCAGACTGCTAGATGTTTCCTCTTTCTCCATCCATGTCTCAAATGGTCCAGACAGGTTTCTGCCCTGGTCCCACTTAAGCCTGGATTCTCACTCCCTCAGGCAGAATGCCCTGCCCTGCCCTTTCCTGCCTACAGAGAGGACCCTGACTGTGCCTGACAGGAAAGAAGTGCCTGACTGATAAGAACAGAACAGAAATAAGATTTGGAAGCCCTTTAGTTTCCTCAAGAAAACTTTCATAAATTCAACTCTATATCCCAAACCAGTTCAGTCTTCTCACACTTTTGAAGAAAAAAGAACCAACCACATCCAAAGGGCAGCCGGTTCCCATTTCTAAATTGTGAGGACAGTACCTGGGCCTCAGGCACTACAGGCACCTGCCCAGGCATACCAGGGACACAGCTCACCTTTGAGAACCACCTCTTCCAAGGGGATGTCCTTGAACAGCTTGTGGTATTGCTGGTTGTATTTACTTAGTAGTGTCTGCAAACACAGGGGCTTGGGCTGAGAAGTCCTGGGAGATCACAACACCAAAGGGGCCCTGCTCCAGCCACCAGGAAATACTGCCACAGGGCCCCCTGGGGACTGAACATAAAGTCACTGGTAAATAGCCAGTGGGTGTAGAAGGCTGAGTTCCAAGCACAGCTTGTCTCCTGGTAATTCTGGGTCCTAATAGGCAGCCTGTGACTGGAGGGGAATGCACCACTCCCACCCAGGAGGGACACCACTCAGGTTTCCTGGTGGCCAAGGAGCCAGCAGTCACTGAATTCAGGCAGCCCAGGGCCCCTTTCTTGCTGGGCAGCAAGTAGTCAGCCTCCACACACTTACCCCTTCTCGACTGTATTTCTTTATCTCTTCACCCTTCAAGCCTTCTGGCCAGTGCAGACTGCAAAGGAGACATTCCATTCCAGGGACAAGGCACCCTTGAGTCCTACCCATGGATCCTCAGTGCCAATTCTGCCCTGGCTTCAAGCCAGAAGCTTGGGGCAGAGATTGGAGAGGAGTCCTCTAGAGGCCACAGCAGTGATAAACACAGCAAGCAAATAGCTCGACCCTGGGGAAGGACACTCCTGGATGCACAAAGGGGTCGCACAAAGGGGTCTCAGTGGCCCCTCCTCCCAGACAGCTGTGAGCAGTGTCCTCCTCCCTCCAAGGAGATTTGCTCAGCCTGAGCTTAGATCTCTCAGAGATGCTTAGGAGCCATCCACCCCTGGGTGTCAAAAACCCTTTCCTATTTCTCTGGCCAAGAGGTAAGCAGAGAAGCAGACCCAAGAATCAATGAGCAGTAGGCACGGGGATGAGGATCAGTTTGGGGAGTGGGTGATATGGAGGTGTCAGACTCACAGCTCCGGGGCCTGCCCATGGGCCATGATCCCCGGCAGAACGGCCTCCTAGCAGCCTCCTCCTGGTGGCCTGGAGCTCTGCGGTGAGGAGTTCCGCAGACTCACCTGACCTGAAGGAGGCTACCAGGCTGAGAGAAATGGGGTGGTGCTGAAATGCAAACCTTTGTCCTAGCCAAATTGGCCTGAGGACAGGTGGGCAGGGGAGGAGGCTGGTAACCTGAGCTGCCTAGACTCTGCTAGGTCCCAGTGCACTGGGTCAGGCCTGGGAGTGGGAGGAAGAGGCCTTAGGCAGCCTGTGCTAGACCTAACATCTTATCTCAGCCTTACAGTCCCATTTCTAACAGGTCACCTCCTGAGGACTTCCCACCCCCAATCCACATGCTTGTCTGCCTTGGGGAAGGGGGCTCACCTGGAGTCCGGGGTTGTCTGAACTCTGACTAGTTTCTCTGTGCAGAACAGGGGGCTCTTCAGAGAAGTCATCTTCCTATGCATCTGTTGGTTGCTAGGAAGAAACAGGCCCACATCAGGAAGGGAGTTTTCATGGGGACACCTTTCTCTACTAGCTCCACCATACCCAGGGCAGCCTGCCCGCCACCCAAGACTGGCCCTGCTATTTAGGGTGAGGTTGAAGACATTGCAGTCCGGAGACAGCAGCTCAGGCAGGGGGTCTGCGCAGCTGACTAGGTGGGAGTCTTACTAGTTGTCTTCTCTAGAAGCCTGAAGGTCAGCTTATTACTGGGCCGGAAGAAAATCAATCTACGTCATCCGAGCACCAGGCAGTTAGGCCTCTGGCCCCAACCTTAAGAAGGCACACTGGGAGGATGGAGTCTGAGATTTATTCAAAGCTGAAAGCAAGTTTCTGAGGGACCCAAGCATCATTATCCTAAACCAGGGGTGGGAAACATATAAGGCCCTCAAAATAATTTGGTCTGGCCCCGCCAAGGCATTAGGGGTGAGTTAATTAAATGTTTGACCAAATATAGCAGGCTAATTTTTAAGTTGATAATTTTGTATGGCCCTCGAATGATGTTATAAATATCCAAATGGCCCTTGGCAGAAAAAAAGGTTCCCCAACCCTGCTCTAAACCTCTGGGTTCATAGAAAGGACGCCAAACACAGGAGGCCTTATCAAAGCTGAGGAGCTGATGCAGCGGATGGTGTGAGAGTGGACTCCAGTCAACCCTCAGGTTAAGTGTGAGCTGGGAAGGGAGGGGCTGCCTCAGACCAGTAAGCCACCATTGGTTTTCTTTGAACAATCTGGGTAGCTCAGCCTGAAAGCCAAACCATCTCCAGAGAGGCCTGACTGGCATGGCTCAGTGGTTGAGTGGCATGGTTTGATTCCCGGTCCGGAGTTGCAGCTCAATCCCTAGTGTGAGGCATGCAGGAGGCAGCTGATCAATGACTCTCTCATCATTGATACTTCCATATCTCTCTCCCTCTCCCACTCTCTCTTAAATGCCCAGAGAGAAGGCCCTGGAAGGAGGAGACACCCTCTTCCTGGGCAGAGAAGGCTAGTCCTTCAGTGGCCTTTGAGTTCATGCCTCCACTAAGTGGCTCCAAACAATAAGGTTCCCTGCTTTCTGCCCCTCCAGGGAAGACAGGCTTGAAATCAATAACAGCTGAGCAGTCAAACTAGCCCCCAGACGGGTGGGCCCAGGGCCTGATGGGAAGAGAGCGTGGCCAAGAAGCAGAGCCAAGGCAAGGCATGCAGTGGTGGGAATAGCTAACAAAGTCCTGTGCTATAGTCTCTCAGCAGACAAGGACCTAGAACCTGCACTTCCCAGCACTCAGTTGCTCTCAGCTCTGTGACACAGGCAAGTCAAAGTTCTCTCCCTCAAGGACAGAGTTACAGCCCAGTGTTGTCCTGTACACCAAAAGGGTGTGGGTTGGATCCCCAGTTGGGGTGCGTGTGGGAGGCAAAACCATCGATATTTCTCTCTCTCTCCCTCTCCCTTCCTCTCTCTCTAAAATAAATAAGAACATATCATTGGGTGAGGATTTAAAACAACAACAACAGAGTTACAGACTCAGCAGAGATCTGCCAGGACCCTCAGAGATTATTTGCTAGTAGTCTGACCCCTTCCACCATGCCATTGTACAGATTAGGAAATGGAGACCTTGCAGGGGACAGGCTGCATCCAATGTCACAACCATCTGACCTGATGACCTTACCTACAAAATCAGCCCAGTCCCAGCTGTAACCTGGTGACCCTCCCTCAGTCTTATGGAGAGTTTTCATATAGACATCAACATGTATTTCCTGAATCTTGCAAAGTGACAGATTGTACTAGTGACTTGACCCTTTGACTCCCAAAGTTAATTTTGGAATTTATTTGGTTCCATCATTTTACATTTCATGGAGGTTTTTTCCTTCCTTGGTTTTTTATTAATGCTCATTAGAGAGAGTATATAAATATAAAATATAGAAATATGATCACCAAAATCACCCATAAGAAAAATATTCTCCCAAATCACTCCAAAATACATTTATACATAAATACATAATTTATGTGAGTGGGATTATATATCATATAATTTGTACACCCTATTTTTTGTTGTTATTGGTAATCCTCACCTGAGGACATTTTTCCATTGATTTTCAGCCAGAGTGGAAGAGAGAGGGAGAGACACAGAGAGAGAACCATCGATGTGGGAGGGACACATCAACCGGTTGCCTCCTGCACACACCCTGACCAGGGTCAGGGATCTAGCCTGCAACCAAGATACATGCCCTTGACCAGAATCGAACCCAGGACCCTTCAGTCTGCAGGATGATGCTCTATCCACTGAGTCAAATTGGCTAGGGCTGTACACCCTATTTTTGATGCTTAACATGATTTCATGAGAAATTCCCCATGTCACTGTCCATTCCTAAGATAGATTCTCAGAAGTGAAATTAATGGATTGAGAATGAACATTTATCAGGCTCTTTAGACCCACTTCCAAAATGCTTTCCAGATGCTATACCAATTGACATGGCCTCAGCACTATATTAGGGTGCCATGTCCTTATATCCAAGCCCTACATTGGATATTATCTTTTTCTCATTTTTTGCAAATTTGATAGATGAGAATATATTGTTTCATTTCCATTTCTACCTACTGGTAGGTTGAACATTTTACTCCCAAATACTTATTAACCATTGAATGTGAATTGTCTATAAGGATCTTCATGTTTTTCTTATTGATTTGTATAAATTCTTTTTTTTTTCCAATCCTCACTTGAGGATATGTTTTTTGATTTTAGAGAAAGGAAGGGAAAGAGAGAGGAAGGGGGATGAGAGAGAAAGAGAGACATCGATGTGAGAGAGAAATAACGATATAAAATATAGAAATATATAAAGAAGGAACCCAAGGATTGGTTGTCTCTCGTATGCACCCAACCAGGGACCTAACCCACAACCTAGGTATGTGCCCTGACCAGGAATCGAACCCATGACCCTTTGGTGTATGGGACGATGCTCCAACTAACTGAACCACACCAGCCAAGGCGATTTATATAAATTCTTTATTGAGAATATTAACCCTTGGTTTATCAGTTTTGCAAAACATGTCATTTGCCTTTTAGTTTTGTCTGGTATTATTGCTATAATTATGTTTAATTTTTGTGTGGTAGATTCCATCTATCTCTTTCTAAATTTGTTTTAATTAATTGATTTTAGAGGAAGGGAGAGAAACATTGATTTGTTGTTCCACTTATTTATGTATTCATTGGTTGATTATTGTATGTGCCCTGACTGGGATTGAACCCACAACCTTGGGGTATCAGGACAACGCTCTAACCAACTAAGTTTCCCTGCCAGGGCCTCCATGTATCTCTTTCATCTCTGTTCCTTACTTGGTTTGAGTGCTTTGATAGGAGAGCCTTGAAGACAAACCACTGAGCCCTTAGAGAGCGTGAGCTCTGCAGCCCATGAGCCCTCTGGGCCTCCAGGGACGAGAAGGGCAAGCTCCACTCGAAGGAACAACCCTCCAGCCTGGAGACCAGGGGATAAAGAAGGAGCCCAAGGAGAAGGAGAGGGAGCTTGGCCCATGGTTTCAGAGGCAAAAAAAAAAAACAAAAAACCTGTCACTCAAGCACTAAAGAGTGTGATTTGAGTTGTCAGGGCTGCAGGAGCTCAAAGGACACTTAGATCCCTGTTGAGTGACGGAGTTACAGAAGGGCTCCTAGAGAAAAGGAAGCTGGACCTTACAGGTGGGGTAAGACTGTCGCCTTGCATATGGATTCCATAATCTAACTATGCATGGATGATGATGCCTTTGCATGGGTTCCAAACCACTCACCTTAGGTTTAAATGTGACTGTCTTGGGGAGGGGAGGCTTCCCTCGGTCCTCCCCAGCCTTGGAAGGAGCCCTGCTGGGGCACCCGCAGCACCCTGATTACACCTGTCCTGTTACTGGTGTGCGTCACTGTCCATCTCCAGGGGCTTCAGGACCTCAGGGACTCTGCCTCCAAAACACTGAACTGCCTAAGCCTGAACACCAGCGTGCAGCAGACACTCATGCCATGTTTGAGGAATGGCTGGGAGAAGACAGTGTAGGCAAAGTAAAGAGCAGGGGCTGGAGGACTAAGGCCATGAGAATAACAAAAGAAGGCTGTGCACATTCCCACTGCACCTCCGTGAAGAAAATCAGAGTAATAAATAGTGTCACTTTGGAAGACACGACTTCCAAATATCTTTAAACTAAAAGCAACCCCTTTACTTGTTATCCGTAGAATGGTTACAAGACATTTCTTCTTGTTCATTCATGAGCCAGCCCTCCTGGCTGTCCTGATAAGGCTGTTGATAAAGAGACTCTGATATGGCTGAAATGTACTGCTTTCAAAATTATCTTTTTTTTTTAAATATATTTTATTGGTTTTGTTTGTTTGTTTGTTTTTTACAGAGCGGAAGGGAAAAGGATAGAGAGTTAGAAACATCAATGAGAGAGAAACATCGATCAGCTGCCTCCTGCACACCCCCTACTGGGATGTGCCTGCACCAAGGTACATGCCCTTGACTGGAATCAAACCTGGGACCCTTCAGTCCGCAGGCCGATGTTCTATCTACTAAGCCAAACCGGTCAGGGCTCAAAAAATATCTTTAACTCAAACTTTCTACTAAGTAGTCTTCACTCCTACAGTGTTTGTTTTTTTGTTTGTTTAGATAAGTGAAAATAAAGAAAGCAGAGTAAGGCCAGATGAGATTTGGGGCTGAGTGGTCACCTAGCATTCACCGGCAGAACCAGGCAGGTTGGGTTGAGATGGGGGTAGAGGGGGGAAGCAAAGAGGCTTCAAGAGCAGGGAGGTGGGGGTGGGGAACTACCTTGGTCCCCTCACCCTGCGGCAGCCCCTGTCCATTCCCCCATAGATTTCCTCAAGCAAGTTTCTCTTACTCTGTGGACTATGAATTACACCTTCATCCCCATCTCATCTCCATGTGCAAACTGTTGAGTTAATAATATCAGAAATTTTCCAAGGAGGTAAAGGAACTGTACTTGGAAAATTTTAAGATAACTAAAA